CTCATGTAAGTACAGGTTATGTGCAGACACAGGCAGCTTTGCCTGTTGCAGTGCCATTTCTCGGCTAAATCAGTTCAGGTGTCTTAGCATAAATGGTATTCCCTTGCTAGCTTGTGCTGTTGGGAGAGGACACCTAAGCTTTCCTCTTGGCTGGGCAGACATGCTGTTCTACATCAAAACAGAGCAGCACCTCTGAGCTGTGCGGTCCAGAGTGTTGACCAGCCTTGCTTTGAGCAAAGGGGCCCAGCTGAGGTGGTTTGACAGCTCCTCTCTTTCATCAGGGTGCATGCTGTTGTGTGCTTCAGCATCCAGGCAGCTTCCTATTTCAGTGAAGGATTTCCAGGGCAGTAGCCTGCCAGTGCTCTCCTTTGCAGCCCAATGCACAAGTATTGGCCAGGACACAATAAAAATGTTCTGCATCTCTTACAATGCAAGGTCTCCACAGAATGAATTTTTTTGGAAGGCTAAGATCAGGTTTATAAACCCCAAGATTTAATGTCCCTTTATCTTCCCATAGAGGAACTTGTTTTTTTAACTGCCTTGATATCAATACACCCTATGTGTAGCAAGTGGCCCAATTTCTTTGTCTCCTGACATCCTGAACCCAGAAGCAGATGGACGTTAACCAGCTCTGATTAGTTGGGAGAATCATGCATTAATTTTTTATACGCCAGAACCACCTGAGTGACGGAAATCAATTATGGCTGCCCCTCCCCCTTCCATATTAATGTGTTGGCTCTGAGCGGAGATGGAGGGACCTGTTGAAACGAGAAACCCCTATTTCTTCATTTGACCCTCTAGATAATTAGGGTTAAATTGATATGCTATCACACTGGTGACACATTTTATCTGCCTCTGTTTGTACAAGAGGATACAATAGTGGAGGAGGGACCAATTTGTGCCCTGCTTTAGCTAACCAGACTGAGATAAAAGGTGTCACTAGTATGATAACGTTCTTGCCTCATGCTCCTTTATTGTTGCTCAATTTGCCTTTTTTTTTTTTAATCCTGTTCTTTTTCTCTCAGTACCCTTGGTCATATTTTAACTCCATGCCATCGCATAATGACGCCCTGCTAAATGTGTGTGGAGATAGGCAACTCTGGCTGACAGCCTTCCCTGATAACCGAATTCCAGCCCATCCATCACTAGGCTGCTCTCCTTAACTTAAGGAAAGTGATAACTAAAGCAAGGCCGTTTATCACCGCCGAGCTGTGCGCTTCTTGCTGCCTTGGAGAGAACTGGCTTCAACAGCAGAAATGCAGCCGTGTCACCTCACCTCCTATTTGCATCCTGTTCATCTCCAGGCTCCATTTACCCTGCAGGGTGGTGAAGCAGGGCTGGATGGAAATCTGAGCCTGGGGTGGTAAAAGCTCTTGGAAAATGGTGCAGAGTTGCCACTGCTGACCACAGTCTAAGAAGGACTTAGACTTGCTTAGCTGGTAAAGGAGGGTGTGCTACCTGATGTCACTGGCTCTTCTGCCCAAAGGTGATCTGTGTTTTGGGAGCAGGCAGAAGTTATATGCTCCCATCTCTGCTTCTGCACAAAAAGAGCTGCATTGGAGGCTGGAAAATCCCACAGCCATTTTCAAGTTTCTCTACACTGAATGCATTTTGGCTGATGGGGTGATTTTTGAAAGCCAGCTTCTTTCCTGAGTTGAGAGAGCTTTGGTGTTTGGGAAGCCAGTTAAACCTCATTCAAAAACTAGAAGGATCATGGGATGTTGAATTCAGCAAAGTGTGCCATCATTTCTCCCTTACCTGAGGGAGGGCCAAATTCTGAGCTATCTTCTGAAGCAGAGCTGCCCTCAGTGAGCAAGTTTGGCTCTGGCAAGAGCAAGAAGCTGTACTGAGCATAAAAGCTTATTTATCAAATAAGTGAATGCTCAAGTGAATGGTTGCTCTCAAAAATAGACATAATTCCTTACAGGCCATGGTACTTCTGTTCCCCAGGACAGCCACAGATATGCCTTATTCAGTCCAGCATGGAAAAGATGATAGAGAAACTCTTGCCTGGTCACTCAGCTGAAGAGTGGGGGGGACCACTGCAGGTGGCAGTCTTGGAGCTGGGGAAAAGATTTTGCAGCGGTATTTTCCTCCCCGTAGCTACCAGGAAACCTGGGTGCTGTGCAGCGAAAGCCCCTGGTTCCCTGTGCCAGGGGAGTGCTGCATATTCAGATTAGACCAGACCCATTCAGCAATCCTTTGCTAATCCTTGCTCAGTGGCTGTGACCCCAGTGGCCTGGAGCCTCCAGGACTGCATCTTCCAGCTCAGGGATAGACTTTCCTTTTGGTCTGTGCTGCTGGCAGCCTGCCCAGGTTATAATGTGAGTGTTGGTCTCCTGGTGCTTGAAAAACTTGAAGCCCCTCTGCTGCTGACAAGAAATGAGGGGAGCACAAGCTTGGAGGGGGAGGGGGAATGTCCTGAGGTCACACAGCTTCACAGGCAGTTTCTGGGGTTGTTACTTGTTTGCAAAAATGCGTCATTTATTTAGTTGACATATTTATTTGGAGCATTTATTTTCTCCAATTAAAGACCCACTGTCCAGCGCCCAGGGCACACTGCCATCAGTCTCAGGGTGAAAATAGAACCAGACTGTCCAGTTTGCTGGGCCTTTTGGTCCCACAGGGATGGCAGTGCTTTAGATGTCATTCGTTGCACTGGGTGGTTTGCTGTCAATTCCTGTGGCTAACAAGAACAATGATGCTCTCACTTCTTCTGGGCCCCATCCAGATGTTAGGTAAACTGATAATTTTTCTTCTAACTGGAGCTAGGCTGAGACCTGTCTTAATGAAAGCCTCTTGGGTTTGGAGGAGAAACTAATTTTTTGTAACATACTTTTTGTAACACAACTTCTGTTAGTATCATCCTCTCTAGATAAATGTGAGCAGACTGAAAGAGGTTGAGCTGACCAAGTGCCTTATTTAGAACAGTTGTTTGTTTTAGATAGTTCCTTTTCTTGTGATCTTTCTTGATTTGGGCACCAGCAAAAAGCAGCTTTCCTGGAGAGTTTTCTCAGCATGCTGCTTGGGGCTGGTCGGGTCTGTTCAACTAAAGGATGTCATGGACATCTGTGTAATGGCTGTAAAATGCATGGGCCAGGTTACTGTTTATGTGGCAGTGTGCAATTTTGAGGAGTGACTCCAGGTGCTTTATTTCTGCATGATGGCATCAGATGAGCTGTGCCCAGGGATGGGACTGTGCTGTCAACTTGCACTACTTGCCCTGTGAATCACTGTGGCCTTGCTCCTTGCAAGCTTGTTCTTTTGACAGCCTTCCTGCTTTCAAAGAGGTTCCTCTGGATATTCTTACACAGATGTGTTTGTATGACTTAAATGATTGGTCCTAAATCATCACATGTACATCTTCTCAGGACCAGGCATTTGATTTTGGCATATGAAATCTATTATTTTCTCAGCCCTGCTTAGAAAACCTGTTTATTTCTCCACATAGAAATGGAGAAGTCACCAAGACCAGATTTCTCTGCTACTGCACTACCATGGGTCTCACATTATCTGCAAGTGCATTATCTGTGTTGCTCCTTCATCTCGTTACTTGGGGAAATGTCTGGAGATGCTTCCCTGTTCACCAAAGGGTTTAGAGCTGGGCTGAGCACTCAGGTACTTCCTGGGATACTGATGGTGCACCTTTGGGTGTTTACCTTGTATCCACTTCTCACCAGAGCTTGTTCCTGTATTTCAGTCTTGAGTCTGAAAACTAATCTGGACTATTCACTTTTTCCTCTGTGGAGAGCAGGAGAAGACTTTGCCCTGTACACAGTGATCTACGTTTGGATGTTTGAGCTGATGCTGGCACTTACAGCTTTTCTTCCTACCCTACAATCTCCTCCTACAACCCCCATGTGCCTGAGGAAGTTGGGAGATTCCCCACCCTCTCTGTTTGCAAAAGCTGATTTCTGGGGTTGTGACTTTTAACATGCACAAACAGCGCTAATTTAGTCATTTATTTAGTTGACATATTTATTTGGGATGTTCCTTTGCTTCACTTAAAGATCCTGTGGCCAGTGCCCCAGGCATGCTCAGCAGTATGTGAATGAACAAGATCCATCAATTACCCTTGATCAGATCAAAGTGGCCAGGAAATACTCACATAACTCATGTCCCTGCACAGGCTTGGCTGGAGACACACATTTTGCGACTCAGCATCCCTGGCTGAGGGCCGCATCCTTGCTGCCCTGCAAACACATTTGGATCAGCACAGTGTGGGAGAAGCAGCTTTCCTGAGGTGCTGCTGTCCCTTCAGGCAATCTGCCTCCCTTACTGGTGCTGTTTTGTTTTGAGCCCTATTCCATCAGCTTGCTGTAGGAAGGGAGAGGATCAATATGTGTGCTTGCAGCTCTGGCTGCTGTGCTCACATCCCGAGTGAGACAGTGTGCACCACCTTGTATCTTCAGAGTTGTCTGCTCTCTTCTTCCAAGCACCTGCTTGGAAAAGAGCCTCTGCTTTATTGGCCCTACAGCATTTCTATCAAAAAAATGAATGCTGTGGTGCCTCCTTCCCTCCTTCATATCTCTTCTGATGTTTTAACCATAAAGGCCAAATGGAGAAGCACCATGGCATGACAGGTGAATGGTCTGTCCTTCATACAGTCTGGCCTGTAGGCTGCTGGCAGAGCAGGATGGTTTTGCAGGGATTTGTGATGGGTTTGCTTAGCCAAGGACAGCCTGGATACTCCAGTCGTATTTGTGTGTTAGCCAGTGTGGAGAAGAGCTGAGTGCTGCACTTGTACACAACTGTTGAAAATGTTTAGTCTAAAAGGTTTCAGCAGCCTGGATGTGCCTGGATGTATGTAAGTCTTAAGCCAAGCTGTACTCTCATGAGATTTTTTTGCCAAGAGCTATGGTGTTGCTGATGTGCAGCATGATGTTACAGCAGATTTGAGAGTCTTTTCCATCTCTGAACAAAATGCACTTAAGAAAACGGAGTTTGTGTTGTCAAGACACTGATTGAATCAAACTTGCTCTCTCTCTTCTCTCTTACAGGTTACCAGGACAATGCCAGTACTTAGGGCTGCCGGTTGCTGATTACTTCAAACAGTGGATTAATCTGAAAAAGGTACTGCTGTGCAAACTGCCATGGTCCCTATCTCCCTGTCTCCCTCCTCCCCTTGTCCTTCACTTTTCCTCTTTAAGGAGGTATCTAATAACTACTGCTGTTTTGCATTGAAATGAGTTATTTTCTCAGAAGCTGGGCTGAGCGAGTCCTCCAGCTCCCTATTGTATCTCCTCTAATAGAGTCTTACTGTACTTGATGGGATGTGTTCTGCAGCTGGGGAGAATCCCATTGTGGCAGGCACAGTGCAATGTCTCTGCATAATATTGGGACACTGTGAGACCCCTTTTCAGTGAAGGTTGTGTTGTCGCCAGTACTGCTGACTTTGTTTTGTTTTGCAGCCATATAAGGCTCCTTGGAGCATGGTCCCCATCAGATGAAATTCCAGTTAATAAATGTGGAAATACTCCAATATAAAAATCAGCATTTCTCTTTGTGGTGTGGGGAAAGGGAGCTGTCTCTGCAGCATATCCAACTCAGAGATCAATGATCACTTTGCTAACCAAAATGCCTTGGACTGAATACTGTCTGATGCTTTGTCTTTTGCTCCATGCCTTCACTGGGTGGTTAAGGAGCAGCATGCTGTGCATCCACAAGGACTCCTGGCACAGCTTCTTCATCTGCACAGAAAAATATGATGATGCCATAAGTCACAAACCAAAGTGGGAAGAAAACAACTCTGATTACAAGCAGGAGCAGAGTGAGGGAGGAGGCTGCGGTCTGTGCACAAGAGAAATTGGGGTGGCCCTCCTGACTAAACCTTTAGATGAGTAAGATTCCCTTCCCCCATCCAATTTAGTGCTTTATTTGGGTTTCTATGCCTTTTCCTGGTAATTAAGGGTCTCAGTAAGCGGAATTTTCTTATAAACAGCTCGTTGTTCTTGCAGGCTTTTCTTTTGTTCTTTTTATTTATTTATTGTTTTAAATGGAAGTGTGAGTGACAGGCTGAGCGGCCGCAGAAGGACAATTTGCATGATCTGTTCCGTCAAATAGGGTAGAACATGAACTTAACAAGGGATGCTGGCAGCACATTCCTGGATGAACTTGTCAAAGGGTCTTGTATTTCCCTGCTGTCAGAGCAAATCTTTTGGCTGATTGCTGGTCCTTGGTAAATGAAATCTGAAAGCACATTGGGGCATTCTGCAGTTCAGTGACCATTAATGATCGCCATTTGAAGTTCACTAAACTTCCGGTGAATGGATAGCAGCTATATAACCAGCAGGTTGATGGCTGCAGAATAATAATACTAAAAAAAAAAAAAATCCCTGTGTACTGTGATGTTTGCTAAGAAGTAGGTTGATCCAGCCATGCTCCTCCTCTGGGCCTTAGGATTAATGACTTACGGCACTCTCCCATAGTTGAAGGCTCCTGGATTTAGTGTGTTAGGAGGTGGGATTCATCATTTTGTAGGTGTCCAGGCAAGTGTCTCTTCTTCAAGGTGAGCGTTCGTGTATTGCATGTCAGCAAGTACTAAGATACTAAGCTGAGGGCTTCTAAGCCTCCATGAAGTCCCAAGCACAGAGCTAAAGGCAGGAGCAGGAGGGAAGTTGTTACAGTGAAATCCTCCCCTCTCCAGCTACCTGAAAGGGTCACATGCTGAGCATGTAGGATGGGGGCATGTGGGTTGGGTTGTCCTCCTCTGCAGATGTGTTACTTGGAAAGTAAAGCTTCAGCCTCCTTCAGATTGTGCAGGAAAAGGAATGTGAGAGAGAACTGCTGATCGTCTTCCAACCCCTCTAGTACCTTAAAAACAATGAAGTTTTTCTGACACTTTAATACCTGACATCCTCTGAGCACAGAATGGTTCGAGGGACCCTGGTCACTTCATAGGAAGTAACCCATGTTGCAGAGGAGAGCAGGGACCTCTCCTGTCTTGTGGCTAAGAGCTGCTTCTCCTGGGACTTGCTCTTACCCTGGGGCGGTGATCTTTCTATGCCATGCACTGCTTTCAGGTGCTTGTGGGGCAGTTGGCTGTGTGTTTTCACGAGAGAATTTCCAGCCTAGATAACTAATTCTGTCCAAGCAGATGGACCCAGTGGAGACTCAGTCTCTATTGAATGAGCTCCCAGTGTGAGACAGATAAGAGTAGACAAGTAACTAGCCCCCCCATTCTTCCCTGCGTAGCTCAGTTGGCCCTTTTTCCCCTCCCTCTGGCACATTCCTTACTAAGAAATACCTCCAAGGCTGAGTTTGCCTTTGACCTGATCCATGAAGTAAGTGGAGGTGTTGGAGGGTGGGTGGGGCTTGCAGTGTGAAACTGATGATTTCTAGGTCATAGATAATGCAGAGACATGAATGTTTCAGATCTCAAGAAAACAGGCATATATGACAGAGAGCAGTTTCCTGAAGGATGGCCCCACCTGCATCTGCTGTATCTTCTTTGAGTCTTTATGAGCAGTGATAACAAGAGGACCTTTCTGAATTAGGGAGCTCCTGCTGCAACTACCAGGCAATGCTGAAGTAGTATTACACACAGGCAAGTCTGTGTACCTATGTGTATTGCAGTAGTAACAAAATATGTTCCAGATTCCTCTGCCAATGCACACACAGCTTCAGGTCCTTTTTGTCTCTGTTTTTTATAATTTTTAAAAAACAGTCCTTGTTTGGACTCCCTCTGCCACAGCATGGGATGCTCCAGAGCTCAGCAGATCTTCTTCGTGGTGAGAGAGTGTTTCTCAGAGTTCATTTGCCAATAAACTTCCCTTTTGACTGCTGTACTGCAGGAGCAGTTGAGGTGAGAATTTTGTGCCTGCAGGCAGCTTTCACAGTTTCCAAGACCTGCCTCTCAGGCAAGCTGGAGAGAGAAATTGCCCCTAGTAGCTGTCACGCTTGCTTTGCCTCAGGCAAACTTGTTGGATTGATCTGGCCATTCAGGTGGTGGTGAGCTCCACATCTGACTGTTGCAATGGTGGCCATAGTGTCTTGGGATCAGTAAAAAAGCCTTCTGCGGAGGAGACTGCAGAGGGGGAAGCTGCCTGTGCACTTGACCATATTTGCTGAAGTTTTACCTTGCCCTGTGCCCCCCCAGTCTGCTAATGCATCCCTTCTGTCAAGCCTGATCGGTGTTTGCTGACATTTTTAATGTCACTGAGCGATCTTGTATCTCTAGTGAACTGTCAGTGTAGAGCTGACTCGGGGCAGAGAGTTTATCATGTTCTTCACTTCGATTAGCTCAGCCTTGTGGGAGGGGAGCAGAAAGCAGAGGAGGCTTTCTTTGAATGCTGCAACATTTCAGATAGCCCCCTAAACCATCTCAACAGAGAGCCACCATCCCATCTGCCAGTTCTCCTTAGGTACCTATCATGTTGATCTGCAGAGGCCCTATGGGTTAGGACTGAGGTGCAGAACCTGAGCTACATCACTGGAGATGGATGCTCAAGGTAGAAATAGCAGAGAGTGCTTCATGTCTGGAGAGAGGGGCACCAGCAGAGTAATGTGTACAGAAAGCTAGAGACCATGGGTCAAGATTTATGCAAAAAGGAAAGCTGCTGCAGCTAGCAAGCTACAGCCAAGCTGTTGCCCTGAGAGTATCCTCAGATAGCCTGGGTAAATCCATTACTGCTTATTATAACACAGGGATCAGCTCTCATTTGTGGCCCCTCTGCTCTCTTAGGAGCCTCTGTGGTTTGTTCTCCAGGTCCCACTAGACTTAGCAGCATGGTTGGTCCTGTGAGGAATCCTTACCTCTGGGGCTGGTACCAGTACTGTGTTAGGCTGGGGACACAGTGCCTGCAATCACAGGGTGTCCAAGAATGGGAATGGGAAACCCAGCAGACAGTAGTTGTCATCACCATTGGTCTGGGAGCATGTCACTGAAGGGAGAGCGGTTTAAAGGAGGAAAGAGGTGGAGGAAGAGGGGTGAAGATAGATTTTCTTACAATGAGCTTTTGCAAGAAGAATGTTAGAAACACAATGAGGGTATCAAAATGGGCCAACCAAATATGTAACCCAGGTTATCTTTATGCCAGAGGCCAGTAGCCAGTGCTTGTGGGTGTAACAGGGAGAGCATGGCTTGAGTCAGCTTTCTCTGATTCCCAGCAATTGTCTCAAGAACTGAGAGCTGTCCCTGGACCACTGTATCTAGTACCTACTGTTCTTACCAGAAACTTGTACACCCTTTTCTGAATCTGCTCATGCCTTCAGTTTCTACAGCATCCTGCAGCAATGACTTTTGCTATTTAATTATGCATCAATTATACTCTGTTTACTCGTATATTGTGTGAAGATGCAGATCCCTTTGTTTCTTTTAAACCTATTGTCAGATCATTTTCTTGTACCTAGGTCTTGCATTGTGTGAAAGAACATGTTTCTAGTTCTTCATGGTGTTACTCTTGATTTGAGACCTCAGTCATATTCTCGCTCAATTGTCTTTTCCAGCACGGCAAAACTTGTTGGAGGGCTCAAGGCACAAAGGCACTTGTGGTCTCTGTGACTCTATAACTGGCTTGTGGAAGTTATTCTTAACATGTGTACACTATCCTGATCTTCCATTAATTCTCTGGATGTTTTGCAGTTAAAAGATAAGAGGAATGTTTTATGTATCCACTAAGGGTTTGTTTTATTCCTTGTTTCTCAAATTATGTATATATTTATTTTTTTTAAAAAAAATAAGACAATCATCATACCCATCACAGAGCTGTCCCTTTCTCCACACAGCAATCCTGGCGTCTTTGACTATCTTTGATTTCTGTTCAGAGAGTGCAGCATGTCTTTAGATACAGTAATAGTGGCTGCTTTAGGAGTGACAGAAAACTGGTTTTAGTTTGACATCCTCCTGAAATTCAGGGAAGTTTTTATGAAAGGCAAGAGTAGAATGATATGTGTGAAGGAATGCAACTTTCCTTCTCTGAGCATGATGAAATAGGGTTGACAGAGCTTTGGGGAGCACAATGCTGGGGTGCCGTGGCTGTACACAGAGCTAGCCTTTCCCAGGGCCAGCCTTTATTGATCTTTAGATATTCCTGTTTGGAAGCAAACTGTTAATATACATTCACATATGTTTT